ATCTATTTTATTGCAAAGAATGTATTTTTGACATTTTTTTTTACCTTTAAAAAAATACCAAACACGATCACATTGCAGATTTTCGATTTTTGCCCACTAAGGCGGCACTGTGCGTCGTCGGCGCAATGCATGCATACAAATGTACATAGTTGCTGTGATTAAATTAGAATTCAGCGATTTATTTTTTGTTTTTTTAAGCGCTGACATGCATACCAACATATGCACATGCATATGTATATACATACATAAATGTGTATTTTTTATCTTTTGGCCAACAAATACATTCGCAAATTTTTCTGTTAACTGCTTTTTACACTATCTATTTTTGTGCTGTTCTATCGTTTGTAAGCACAAAAAAGAAATACATTTAAACAAATAAAATCGCATAAAAAACAACTGCAATTAACATTTTTCGTTGTTGTAGCTAAATAATTGACTGCTGTTTTTTTCTGTGTGTGGGTTTTTGGTCTGTTTTTTTTCCTTCTTTTTTATTTTTTCTTTTTCATGTTTGTTATAGCTAAATTTTTTTGTTGCACACGCCATTGCGATTTTTTCAGGTGCTAATTTGTGAAAAATAGCAGCGAATATTAAGCTAAAAATACAGAGTTAGGTATGTATATAGAATATATAGGTACTCATATGCACATATTCATATATGTATGTATGTACATATGTGCATACATTTTTAAATACAAATTTTTAAATGCTAATTTGCATGCGCTATGATATTTGGTATCTCTACACAATGGCGATATGATCATAAAACAAATGTTTATTTGCCTTTGTGTCATTAAGTGCGCTTTAAGCAGTACAGTCGAGCAAACTCGTTGGAGATAATAAGATACGTTCTTAATAGGGGTATTAATAGAAGTTGATCTTATAACAGCATATACCTATTAGCATAAAATTTTTTTTATTTTTTTCTGTAAGTACCATAAATAATGCACATTTTGAACAGCATTCCAATTATTGATGCTGAAGAACTGCCAAATAAAAAAAAATCATACCTTTCACAACAAGTGTATGTTATTCCTAATGTTCTGTTTTGTGGTGCTTGCATTCGCAGCCCGCTATAATAGAGAAGCTGCTGTTATGGAACTGATGCAGCTGCCTTGAAGAAGCTGCTGTGGTAAAAAAAGTCAGCTTTTATGGCTTTTATGCAAGGCCTGTCGTTATAGAAAACCCAAACAATGCCTAATTTAATCTACTGCCCGCTGTTGTAACCGCCTATGCGATTTTGGCCGAGTTTAAGAAAGCACGCCAGTCGTTTCTCTTAGGACCTACAGATGCATCACTTGGGTGTCTCGTGACGGACCTGGTAGTTATTGTTAAGGGAAAATAAGGCAAAACCGTCTCGGATGTGATGAATGCAATCAACGTGGCATGCGGCTGGTTTGTCAGTGAGGGTCTCAACATCCAAAAAAAAAACTGTACTTCCGCCTTTGAAACGACGGTACTTGAACACTCTGACAAAATCAAATACTTAGAAGTTTTGTACAGAATTATACAAAAAGCTACTTTTTAATTGCATTCCAAAATTTTAACGGTGATAAGTAGTCAGCATTTCGTTAATTACTAGTATCGATTTAATTCATTTGAGATGGTTTCGTTCTATGAATATTTGGTTTTAGGATGTTTTTTGGCTCGACCTCTATCGAAACAAATTTAAAAGATTAGTGAACCGATTTTTTTTTTAAAGCTGTGTTATTATTTATTTCAGTCTACAAAGTAAAATAGTGCAACAATTTTTTCGAACTAGTCTACTACAAAACTATCGTAGTTGAGTGGGACTGTGCCTACCGTCTATCGTATAGTCGGTCCAGGTACTCTGCAACGTGGCGTTCACTTACTTTTCCCTTGGATTGTGGATGAACTAGAAACGAGAAACTGACTTTTTACTTATCGTCAGAGGAAAGTTTATGGACGCCGTATGTAGTTTTATACAGAGGTGCGTGCTTGAACTTAGCCACAGATGTATCTGCTAGCTGCGGAGCTGCTTTTAGACCTGGTGGTGAGACCAAGCCCATATCGTTCATCACGAGCCTTATGCGCAGCTTCCCTCGATCGGTGGCCTTACACCTATGCTGTCTGATACAGTGAGGTATTTGTTAGTGGATCTATACAGGAAGCTCTCCTGTAAGCTAAATACGGGGCATTTAAAATGGTACTGCTGTGAAATCAATTAAGGTTATCAGCGGGGCACTCCTACTCTTAACATTGCGGGTAATGCATTCCGCTCCGCCGTCAAAGTAAGAAGTACCACTTCGCGGACTGCGTAAGATCAGTCAAGCGGCAATCAGTATCTAGGAATTCTTATGGCGCATTTGAAGCTGGTTAGGAAATGTCTGATCTCGCTCTCGGTAACCTCGGATTACATCCAAATTTGGCTGATTTGCATTCCAAGATTCTGTGACATTGTAGAAAACTGTATCGCAGATAAATGAGATAGCGTACCCTTAAGATCACATATCCTTAATGGGAGGGTATACAATTTCCTATCGCAATCGATGGATTGCTTCTGGACAGATGAATTTTAGGCCGCCCAGCAAGAAAAGGGTAGAAACCCGTACCTGTAAAGTTGCAAAGACCTTTGGTCGAGCGCGGGCGAGAGTCCTAATCGAGAACTGTCCAGTAGGAACCTAGGCGCTACAACCAAATAACGTTTCGGTACCTTATTGACGTATGTGTCTCTTTAGAGGGTAACGAAGTGGAGTAAACTAAGCATTCAATGCTCAGGTATCTTACGAATATTTCAAGCGGAGGTCTATGCCATTAGCGGGTGTGCTTTGAAAGCTTAGAATAAAGCAAGCCAAGAATGAGCACATAAACTCCCTGCTTTCAAAACATCTTCTAGACTTTCATTTCTATCTATCTAACGTACGAATATCCAACATTCCAACCTTACTATCCACCCCTCGAGCAGAAACATTACCAGATGTTTTCTATTTACACAGCTCTGTTAATTCTTCACTAGCATTCAAGCCTAATAAGATATTGCTGTTGCACAAAAAAAAATATAAAATTGCTGTTGATATGAATTTCTACATACAAGTACTCTAACCGCAAAAATCAATTCGCTAGGAAATGCTTTTTTAAAAAAAGATTGGGTTAAGAAACGGAATGATTAAGTAACAAATAACACGCAAATGAAAAAAACTTAATCCATAATGGGGAGTGCCGCTGCGCAAGCCACATTTGAAGACTAATTTATGCAAAAATTGGGTACTAAAATTGAGGCACCTGTGCAAGGCAAAACAATTTAAAATTGATAACAGAGTTGCAATGCGCTGATGCTGCAGTAGTTTTGCAAAATAATGCAATATAAAAATATTTTCTATTTTTTATGCTGATTTTCTTGTTATTTTTATTTTCCCTTTCTTGGCCCCCAACTCATATTTTCAGCTGCTAGTCTTAGAACAATAATAAAAATGAAAATGAAATTAAACAACAAAAGGAAAACGGGGCAACATTATTGTAGACGATAACTATCGCGAAAAGCTATAATCGCCACACATCGACAACATTGATAGCAACACCCAAAGACACGGCCGCGGCCGCCGCCGCCCGTGAGACAACTACCTCCTTGAAGACACACTACAAAATGGTAGAGCGAGCGCGCAGACGCAGCGATAGCAGTGCAAGCGAAAAATTACTTTCAGCCCTGTGGCCGATTGTAGCCGAGATAATAAAACTGCGGCATTAAAACAACTAAAACCACAACAGCAATAATTATAGTTAACGTTACAATGATAGCAACAACAACGACAACCTTGTAATAACCCTACGCGCCAGTTCAGGTGGTGGCAAGGAATTTTCCACTTGATTACGCGCTGAACAGCGCTGCGACTGCATTGACAACAACAATGACTACGCTGCACAATTTCGCAGACGGAAATTGAGATATTTTTTTATAAGTTATGAGCATGCGCGCGCTGCCGCCACCTTAGCGTCGCTAGTACACGTACAAAGCGCATAGGGACGGATGCTGGTTTGCCAATGCTTGTTGTTGTTATTGGCGCACATTTTGTCGCTATTTGTTAGTTGCGTTGTTGCACGTCTTTTGTCGCACGATTTTCTGCACCTTTTTCACTTCTCTTGCTCACTTACATAGTTTTCGAAGAGTATGCGCGCGCGCGCGTGACGCTTTTGTATACGAATGTATGTATGTATGTATGTATGTATGTATGTATGTATGTGAGTGCTTTCGCGAAATTTGCAATTAAGCTTGATTAGGTTTAATCGGTTTTTGATATTTATGGCTTTTCATTATCATTAAATTCATTGGCTGCAAACTGCGCGGGGCGACCACCACACGCAACAGCCACAACCACAACCACAACCACAACCACAGCACAATGGCCATTATCGCCCGGCATCATGGTCTTTTCTAACTGCTTGCCGCTTTGATATCGCTTTGGCTACTGTAGCTGCTACCGCTTTCCGCATATTTATTCCAGCATAATTCTGCAACAACCGAACAACTTTGTCAACGTCCATCGGCGAATAATTGCAATGCGGCGGAGAGTAGGCAAGCAAGCAGTTTAGCAGCAGCTGGGGCAGCAATAGTAATTATTCACTGTTGCCAACAGGGATACACAGCACAATGCGGCGCGCCGGTGGCGACTACTGTAGATGCTACTGCTTGCTACTACCGCTACTGCTGTTGCTGTAACTATTGCGGCTTCTGAAGCTGCTGCTGTTGGTGGCGGTGGTGCCGAAACGCCCCAGGATAATTTGTATGCCAGTTAATTGGTATTGCGGCCATTGATCAGTAGCTTGCAGCTTGGTGTGGCGGGCAGGCGGGCAGGCAGGCAGGCATACAGCGGGCAGCTGTTGTCATGAAGGGACAATTTCCGGTGCCGCTCCTATTTGCAAGTTTAACTACTTAACTATTTCTGTTTTTTTTTGTTTTTTTTTGTTGCTTAAGTAAAATATATATTTGCGTAAAAGTAACTACATATGTATGTATATACTTAGTTTAGTTGTGTGGGGCCACTTACCTTAGCTGAGCTCTCTAGCGGATTCCAATAGACGGCGATGGCATTGTGGGAGACCTCCTCGATGCAGCCAACTAGACCAACGGAATTTTTCGTGTCTGCAAGTGAGGTTGGAAGAGCGAAAATTAATTAATGTGAAATGAGGTGGATAAAAGAAAAAATATGTTTTTATTATATTATATTCTATCTTAGCCAAATTTCGAAAAAATGCGAGCCTTTTAAAATGTTTTTCTTTTTTCTTTGCTGTTGGCATTCGGAACTCTTAGTGCGACCTTCGTGGGGAAGTCGAGAGGAAGATCGTCGAGAAGTCCCATACCTTTCGAGATTATTTAGGATGTTTTCGAGACTTTTGGGATCTTTATCAAACTTTTCGGATTTTTTCGGCGTAATTAGGAATTTTTTTGAGATCGTTTTAAGATATTTTCAAAAATTTCCGGATCTGGGTTTTCGGCATTTTTGAAAGGAAATCTTTCGGAACTTTTTGGTATAGGATTTTTTTGGGGGATTTCGGAATTTTTCCGAATTTTTTTCGGATTTTTTTTGTGACTTGTCGGAATTTTTTGTACTATTAACACTTTTTAGAAGATCTTTTGAGATTTTTTTTCGAAAATTACGGGGTCCTTTCATAATTTTTTTTTTTTTGGGATATTACTTGAATTTTCGGCCGCTATGGTGAAGTGGTAAGCAGTTCGCGCTTCCACTCCACAACGCATGGGTTCAAACCCTGATCAAAGCAACATCGCAAAAATATAGAAAAAAGGTTTTTTATTAACAGCGGTCGTCCCTCGGCAGGCAATGGCAAACCTCCGAGTGTATTTCTGCCATGAAAATCCGCTTCTCACAAAAATACAATCGCCGTTCGGAGTCGGCGTAAAACTGTAGGTCCCTCCGCTTTGTGTGACAACATCAAGGCGCACGCCACAAGTCGGAGGAGATGCTCGGCCAAACACTAACATATGTGTAAGCGCCAATCTATTATTATTATTACTTGAATTTTCGTCTTTTTTAGATATATATTTTTTGGCACTTTTCGATATAATTTAGGGTTTTCGGGATTTTTAATGGCTCTTCGCTGTACTACTGGGCTTTTTTTCGTGTTCAGTTGAATTTTTTCGGGACTGTTGGATTCCTTATTGAACTTTTCGGCGGTACAAATAAACATTTTTTCGGGTTCGTCAAGATCTTTTTCATTAATTTCATCAGCATTTTGTCGTAATTTTTCGGCGTCTTTATTTTTTTTAGAAATTTTCTACTTTTCGAAATAATTAAAGATTTTTTTTTTTGAAAGTTTGTTGGTTTTTCCAAATTTTCCCGGATTTTTTTTTTTTTTAAATTTTAAAGGTTGTTTTCGAAAATTTCAGGATCAGGGTTTCCGGCAATCCTGAAGGAATTTTTTCGGAACTTTTCGATTTAATTTAAAATCTTCTTGGGACCTTCGGAATCTTTTCCTAATTTTTCGGTATTTTTTAGAGGCTTTTCGGAATGTTTTTCTATTTTTTTTTAGACAGATTTTTTTATAATTTTTTTGGTCATATGAATTTCGGAACTTTTCGAGATCATTTAGGACTTTTTTGGATTTTCTCATGGTTTTAGATTTTTTTTCCAAAATTTCCGAATCGTTTCATAAATTTTCACGATATTTCATGATTTTGGGAATTTTTTTCGGACTTTTCGAATTATTTAATGAGACTTTTTAAGATTTTCCTGTACGACAAGGAATTTTTTCGAGATCATTTGAATTTTTGTCGGGACTTTCTGAATTTCTCGGAATTTTTCGGATGCTATAGATATCTAGCTCATCTATTTTTGAAAGTCTCTAAAAACTAGAGCTGCAAAATTTATGTTAATATGTAATTCTCAATAACTTAAGTTAAAGATTTATAAAAAAAAGATCCCTAAGTTCTTTTGTGACACAATTATGCTCGTTTGAAATAAAACTCATTGTAATCGCTACAGTTGTTTAGGAGTTTTTCAAACATAAACATTTTCCTTCTGGTTTTCAAAAATAGCATTGATGCATAATCGGTACAATTTCTGATACTAAGCCCTGATGGATTAATAAAATCACTTGACTTGCAAAAATATGTATAATTTTTTTAATTCTTACTAAAATTTATTAAAAAGAAGCGACTCTATGAAAATAGAAGCTTTATCGCAAAAAATATGGGTACATATATTAACACTAACAAAATAATTACTGACTTATCGCAATGAGAAATGACAGCTTACCAAAACATAAACATCATACAATAATGTTTTTTACAGAGTCTTTAGCAACAGATTTTTCATATAGCAGTATTCAAATTTTAAATGACTATTTGATGTATTTGCTTATTAACTCAAAAATACACATTTATTGTTTATTTCGCGTTTCACATGCGAATTCCATCGCATTTAATCGACCCGCTTAAAAATAGGTATACGATGCGCATAATCACTAAAAAAAAACAGTTATGAAATTTTGCGTTTACCGTTAAATTATGAGGCAAGCAACTCATTAAATGTCACATGTTTATAAGCAGCATGTGGCATAAATTGCACGTAGTACGCACCGAGGCTCCACAGCCAAAGGAACATGTGGCTTACAGGTGAGGGTGTTGCGATTGCGCACAGCAGTCAGGGGAATGCACGGCACAAAAGTATCGCTATGTTAGTTTTTCGAATGAAAATTGCAACATTTGTCAATTTAAACATTACGCGCTTATATTGCACGAACATCCCCATACATACATTTAAATATGATTGTTTGCAAGTTTGCAACAAACCCAAAATGCTGATAGTGTGCGCATGTGCAGCACCCAATTAGCAGCGTAGATGAACTCTCTGGCAACGCAGCTGGTGGTGGGCATGAAAAATGGCATAAAACTGGCAACAATACTAGATACACAACGCATGTGCCTGGTTGTTCACTGGGCGAACGATGTGCAGTCGTGGACCTTCTTTGCTGCCTATGGCACCGTAAATGCGGATATTCTAGCTGCAGCCTGCCAGTGGCGTTACACCCCCAGCCCCAACTGGCGCAACGCACACAAAATTTGTTGCCAGTCAGTATTCTATGCTTTGCTATGCGCATAAGCATGTATGTATGTATGTATGTATGTATGTATGTATGTTTGTATGCCTGTGCATTTGAGTGCTCGCGCATTCCATTTACGAGCCATACGATCGATTGTACAACCAAATGGCTTGCATACTCGCGGTATATAGTGGCGCTTATCAGCTGCAACAAATCGTTATTGCATAAATATGTACTAGCAACTTGCAGCTTGCAACATTTCACAATCAATAGTTAGAATTCAATAAAGTTTTGTAATTTACAGCAAATTAAGATTGCAGAAGAGTCAGAGGTGGAAAGAGAGTTGAAAGGAGTTAGTTGTGTTTGAATTCAAGTCTTTCCCTTCCTCTACTACTACTTCTTGTTCTTCTTCTTTTCATTTTTATTTTTCTCTTATTTTGTCAACGCTGATAAGCATCAATGTTGCAAGTTGTTAATTTTTACTTTTAATGTGTATGCAATTGCGCATTTGTCCAGACAGCAACAGCAACAACAACACTAACTTTGAATAGAAGAAACAGTTGTTTTGCCAAATGATAAATGTGCGTTGTTGTGCGTAAAAATATTTATCTTTATTACAAATGTTGCACGAGACTGGCAGCGACTGGAAAGCGGGGTAGTGCTTATAAGAATTCTCAAATTACAAAGTTGCAAAAAATATGCATGCACATGTGGTGGATGTAGCAGATACTTAAGTATATATATACATATATGTGTGTATGTACTTGTTTAGTAATTTCAATGTTGTAAATTAGTAGACCAAACAAACTTTTCAAGGTAAGAATCGGTGAATGGATACCATTCGCACTAAAGTCTAGCAGGTAGTCGGTTGAAGAGATGTGACAATCGTCGATATAACAGCTATTACTTCTACCGCTCAGATGTATTTTTATTTTTTTCAAAAAAGTTTACAAATAATCTGGCTTGATTTTGATAATTGAGTTTGAAGTCGTCTACCTATACTTTGTATTAATTTGGGTTGCTGAAAAAGTATTTGTAAATTTTCTTGAAGAAATAAATATGCGAGCATTTTTTTCCTGGGAGCAGTAAACTGATTTAAAAATTTTTATTGAAGAAAATTTCCTTAGCTCAGTTGCCTTTCCTTTATTTAATATTTATTATTTTTTATTTAATTTTTATTACCTTATATGCAAGTGTAGTATAGTATCTAACAAAAACCACTCAAATAAAAATTTCAAACTTTGTACAAAAATTACGAAAATTCGACAAAGTTTCATAAAAATTTTGAGTTTTTTAATCAGGTCTTCTCAGAATATTTCTGAGTATGCAGTTTTGTAGCCACGTTTATTTAAATGAAGTGCAAGTTTGAACCTTCAAGGACTCACCGTTGATTTTTAGCATATTTTTGAAAAAGGTGTTGCTTATTTTCCCCATACAAAAAACTTGTGGAACATACTTTGTATGGAAGAAAATGCGTGAACAAAAAATTGCCAAAAATCAATGGCCAGCCCTAGCTGCTTCGAACTTGCACTCTATCGTACTCTATTTAATGCGCTACAAGACTGCATACTCAACTGCATTTTTAAAATTGAAAAATAAAACAAACCTGTCTTACCTGCATCTAAAATACGTTGTTTAACCGAATGTTGCCGGCTATGCCAGAATTGCCAGGCTTTGATTTCATCATCGGGACTCTTCTCTTCGCGGAATATCAGCATAATAACGCTCTGTGAAAGACAAAAAATTATGGCGTTCAAACTATAATATTAGAATATTTATAAATAGATAAAAACAAAACACTTAAGTAAATATAGAAAAATAATTTAGTTTCAGACTTTCAAGTTATTGCATAAGCACCGCCTTCTATGAGCATGCTCTTTCAACCGCTTGGCATCATAGCTTCCCAACTAAAGAAGTCTACGCAAGTATCGTGTCCTTGGCTGACTCTTATTTATGCGAGCTGCGTGGGTTATAAGATGAAACTTTGAAGGTTGGCCAGGAAGGCAAGGCCTAGGAGACATCTACCAAGAATTGCAGACCAAGGAACCAGCGGGAATTTATTCCGAATTTTTCGGTATACTCCGAAATCTTTTGAGATCATTTACGATTTTTTTCAAAAATTTAAGGATCCTTTCATGAACTTTCGAGGTCTTACATGATCTTTCGGGATGCTATAAAGGAATTTTTCCGAAACGTTTCGAGATAATTTAGCACTTTCGGGATCTTTTCCGAATTTTTCGGAATCCTATCATGGCTTTTCGGAATTTTCTGTGTTAGTACGATTTTTTTCGAGATTATTTAAATTTTTGTTGGGACTTTCGGGAACATTATTGAACTTTTTTCAAAATAATTTAAGACTTTTTTTGGGATTTTCCGAATGTTTTTCGATTTTTTTCGGGATTTTTTCATAGTTCTCAGTATTTTCTGTACTATTAGGCGTTTTTTAGAGATCATTTTGAATTTTCTCGGGACTTTCAGGAACCGTTAAGATAATTTCGCAAAATAAAAATAAGAACAGAATCGAGCAAGGAACGCCTACCGCTTCAAAATAACCTAAATGAGGGCGGCCAAGAAGCCTGTTGTTTTTCTAATTTTGTCAACTGGTTTCCTTTGTACAAGTAGCATTGAAGAAAGTATGATTTCTTAGTATTCTCTTTTGTTAGAAAACGATTTCAGAACATTGGAGCGAAATGCTGGGCGACATTTACAAATCTGCTGCTGGACTTATTTTTCTTTTCAACAATATTCTGAAGTATTACCAAGTTTTACAAATGTATATAGTAAAAAATGTTACTTTTTCACGCTGCCCCTAACCCATCTTAATCCCTGTATACGTTACTAATCCTCAAAACCCAATTACCAAATGAATATTTTAGCAACAAATGAATCACAACGAATGCCTCATATGTATGTAGATTTTATACTATTCACAAAGGAAATTCATGTTTATGAAATAAATATTTCCAACAGTTGTTGTTGTGGGTACCTTTTCACAAAAATTCACAGCTTCTAGCGCCCTTTCTCAGCTACAAAATTTTGGCATACGCGCTATGTCGTAACAACAATTCCACGTGGGTTGCTCCATTCAGAGATGCATTATTATTAAAATTTCCAACTCCCATACAAACCGAAGAGTATGTATGTATGTATGTATAAATAAATAAAAAGAAACAAAAAGCGGCTGCTATGTGTGTTGGCATGCTGCTTGCATTTTTGTTATGAAACGTATGGTTCAGCGCCCCTTTCAAAAGTCAAAAAATAATCATCATCATAATTCACACATAGGCGCATAAATAAAAATCTGCGGATGTATGTATACATAGACACACAAAACCCTTAGTTAAAGCGTGCACACCTTTACTTTAAGACATCACCACTGTGCGCGCTGTGACTTTATCTTCTCGGAATTTTTCTTGGAAAAATTTGCATTTTTATTTTCAGACATTTAGGGCAGCAGCAGGCAGTAGAAAGGCATTAAGAAAGTGTTGCCTGAATGAAGTGGCATTATATTCATTTTTTTTTGTTGCTTTCCAAAGAAAAAAAAAATTCACGCACAATTGCAGTTCTCGCGCGCACGCATCCTTTTGCCGGCCTGAAAAAGGATCTCTAAAAAGCGGCGCATAAATGCATGTACGCACATGTGTGTGTCTGTGCGTCTGTGTATATTTATCTTTAACCCGATTCGCTACTGTGCTATCGTAAATTATTTTCTTTTAATTCTGTGATTTTACCCCTTCGTTCCCGCTACGCCGCTTCCTTGCTGTGCAATCTTTAAGTCGCTTACTTTGATTTTTATTTATTTATTTTTTTTTTGTCGGCGCATCTTTAAAAATTTGCATTAATTTCTTGTGACGTTCAGTTGGCTGCCTTAGCCGCTGTTGAATAGGGCACATTAGGAAAACAAACATAAATTAATTTTGACACTTTCGCCTCGCGGCTGTGCGGCTGTGCGTCTACGCGCTTATGCGTCTGCCATGACATGCCCATGCCGTTGGCGTTGTATTGCAATCAAATTTATTGGATTTTTATGTAAATAGTTAATATGCGTATGCAGTAATGCAGCATGCAACACTAAAAATGCATTAGGTTGACATTGGAGCGACGACGAACGAACGACGGCTGCAACTATGCAGTTGGCCAAGGAAGGGGCCAAGCGCGTTTGGCAACTTGCAATGAAAGCGGCTGCAGCTAACTAAGCTAGGCGTAGCAGCAGTGGATGTCTAGTTTTTTGTATCAATATAAATTCGGCTATTGAATTTCTCAATTTTATGCATATTTTTTTTTAATTTTATTTCTTTGCAGTTATTCCACCAGATTTGTATTTTTTTTAATTTTAATTTGCTACTTTTGTATTTATTTTTCACGCTCCCAAATATTTTTCATAGCAAGCGACGTTTAAAAATTAATTGCTTGTAATTGCATTGCCAGCGGCCTACTATTTTCCCATGTAAACGTGCAGTTTTAGAGAAAATATGAATATGTGTTAGAAAATATGAAAAAATATAGCAAAAAACTGCTCAAGTCATTGAATTTATCCAACGCCTCACAGTGTGTAAAAGATGTCTAAAAAATGATTCAAATTTGGCGCTGCACTTTTGTTATCCGTAGATACTAGCTTCGTGTGTGCAGGCAAATCTATTGCCCAGGAGCGCCTAACTAAAATGGATATCGAGAGCTTATATTCAAAACCTGCTGTAGGTGATTAAACGAAATTAGCCGAGCTGATCTTAGTCGCCAGTTATTCCTATTTCTCGATAGCTGGTGCCAAGTCCCTTTCCACCTGGTTCTTTCCCACGCAGGGGAGGCGTTTCTCTTCTTCTGTTACCACCCACGAGTACCGCAGGAGTTGTTAAGCTCATACAGCTCATCGTTCGTTTTATGCAGCACCCAAGGGCACAGATTCATCAGATTTTGTCATCGTCCCGGCCCACCATCGGCCAGGAAAACCTCGCAGTGGCTTATGTCCTGGTTTTTCCCCAGCATTCGCTGAGTTGACCCGATGCCCATATTTCCAAGAGAAGTCCACAAGTAGTCAAAGGAACTCCCACTCTTTCTTACATTGGCGATATAAACTCGAGGATGTCGCCTCAGTTCATTAGCCGAACAGTTTTCTGCAATATCACTATGGCCTGGCACCTATACAAGTCTGACAAGGTTATATTCAGACGCGGCCGAAAGTGAATTAAGGCAGCAACCTCCCGTCTGAAAAATCCTACAGTGATCTGGATGTCTAAAGTTAGGGTTGATTGGAGCTCCCTGGAAAAGACTCCTCCACCGAGCCTTTCGTGAAGCTTCGACCCACCCGTGTAAAAGTTCACGTGTGCGCCCTTCCAACCACGCTTTTATAGAGAATGTAGCTCTTACATATTTACTATTTAATATCAAAGTACAGAGATCACACGAAATAAAGTCGCACTCGGAGGAATCCTTCCCATTTAGTGCGGAACTGATAGCGATGTCTTTTCTAAGATTTGGCGATTGTTAAATACTTGGTTGGCCTTAGCTTTTTACTCAATGTGCTTGACAAAACCTTACATCCGATGGCAGGAACGTGTGAAGATTGGGCAGAACACACTTCGATTCCAATCGGCAAGCATTTTTACACGAGTTCGCGTCGGTCTTTAAATCTTCCGAAAAGCGCCAAATTTCGTTTTTGAAATTTTCGGATGTTTTTCTTATCAGCCCTCGAGGTCCTCTCACTCACATGTTTCATTTACTCTCTTAACAGAGATGACAGACTGTCTCGTAGGAGAGGCAACCGCTATATCTACAATCGATCCCGAACATGACAATTTTACTAAGGAAGAGCTCAAGAAGAAGAGAACCGCATTGAGGGATCAAAACATGCGTAGCTCAGCAGACCTGTGTTACGCAGAGATTTTACAGTGACAACATGAAGCGGTTTCTATATATAATCCAATAACCTGTATAAGCGGGGTATATGGGAAAGTATCTTTGTCTGTTTTGCGTTCGACCAAGGAGATACTATAATATATTCTCGTTGAGTGTGACGCTATCGGCAGAAGACGTTAGAGTAGTATAGCATCAATGCGACTTATGAAGGCACTTCTGAGCTTTCTGTGGGATTTATGCTTACAAGAAGTGCTGTGAAGACTAGATGGCGCAGTAGGTCTCTAGGGCGCAGTGCATATTAATAAATACCGCTGATGGACACTGTCGTGCCCGCGGGAAAAGCTCTTTTAAGCTTTGTATACATTTTATATAGACGCATGCAGACTAAAAGCTATCTTCCTGGCTCTCCCTTTTCAACTATCGATGACGCGCGCGAATAGCTCGCTTTTTGTCCATTCGCATCGTATCCTTATATGCGGAATATTTTTTTCTCTGTTGCTTGTTCTACTACGTATCCTACGGTCCTCAGATCGTACGTACGTGCGTGCTTACGCTTACCGAAATATCGTCGCTACCATGTCAAACTATCGAATGAGCAAAAATGATTTTCAATTACGACACCTTGCGCATGCGCGTAGAATGATACGCAAGTTGGCCAATCCACAAATTTCTAGAAGCAGAGGGTACTGTCTTTAACTAAGTGTCGAAGCCCACACTTTTTCCTAATGACAACAACATTTTTTACAGCCATTTTTTTTGCTCTCCTGAAAAGTACCCACTATCGCATTCGATAGCTTGACACGGTAGCGACGATATAATCGATTTGGGTTCTTTTTCACAACGACATTAAAGCCCCAAGCACGGTTTTAATGACAGCGCTCATAAGAAAGGTTTAAAGCTCATGAAAGCGATTTTTAGATGCATTCTGTGGTCTCACACGACGCATCTTTGTTTTGTGGCGGCAACTAAGCCCACCCACGTGTATAAAAATCTTCTACCATTAAAATTTATATTAAAAGCATGCGCAACAAAGCCCCACTGTGCAGTGCCGACAAATTGGCAGCACAAGTGAAAATTGCAAACGCCTGCGTACTTGTACGAATTTCACGCGAATAGTGCGTACAACAACAAGAAAAAATATGTCAAAATTGACAACAACAAAACCACATACTATTTAACATCAGCGTTTACAACGCATTAGTTATCTTTTGAAATGGTCCAATTAACCCCTAAAGTGTCGCATTGGCTGGCGGGCAGTTTTCGCTAAGCGTGAAAGTTGCAATAATTTTCATGCGCATACATGCATATGTATGAACATAGGTACATATATTATTTCTAAACTAATGCGTGTACGCATGTGTGTGCTACCAATTTCACTAAATGCACAGCCGGCGCACTGTTTTCACAGCTTTGATGAGTGTTGCCGTCGTCGTCGCCGGCGGTGTTGCATAAACAAATTGCGATTCATAGCTGTTGAGTGAGCTGGAATTTGTTGTTATTTTTTTAGTGATTTGAATAAAGTGTTTCTTGTTTTTGTTTATTTTTTTTTATTTTTGTGTTTTTTTGTCAATCGCGATATACGGAAATCCGTTGGCGTAGCGCGACTCCAATTACTCGGAAGCTGAGCGCTGCTGCATAAACATAACAATAAAAGCGCGAAAATAAAATACGTTTTGGTAACTAACAGCGCGCTGACTAGGAAGTGCTACAGTTGCCGGCAGCTAGCGACAGTTGTCCTTGCGCGCGCACAAACAATCCTTTTACGTCGCCACTTCACACAGGCATTTGCATATCATTCAACTCAAGTATCACATATCAAGGCTGTGACGATGGCGCGTTGTGGAGGAATGGCCTGGCTGGTGACGGCTCATTCGTCATGACGTCTTATCTGATCGATGAATGCTTAAGAGAGAATTTCATGAAGAAAGAAAAAATGAAGCATACGAATGCGAAAGCATTGCTTAAGGGAGGCCCTCAAGGCTGCAGAAAGGTCCTAAGTAAACATTTGTTTAGCGCCGAAAGCTAGGTGAAGCAAATTAAAATTCAAAATTCAAAAGCTGCGTCAGATTTCGTGGTGCTGTTGTCTTTGAAAAAATGCGTAGTCTTCACATTTCTTCTTGTTGATTGAAATTCAAATCGAAACGCAAAGACAAATAAAACAAGACTTGAAATAAGAAATGTACAAATCATCAGCTATCATTCATCATCATCATCATCCTAAAGGATCAGCGACCAAAAGTATGTACGGCAGTTAACAGTCGGCGCTGCTGTTGCTCTAAGAAACAGCATATCCTTGCCAATGATGGCTTTGAGGGTTGCCTGGCAAATATTTGCTCGGCAACGATCCTTTTAGCTATTGCTCGCTTCAGTCATATCCTTTTGCAATCACTCAACATCTACTTGGATATGCAATCAGGGATAAGCGCATCAAATCGGTTGGCAGTTCTGCTTTGCATATTTGTGTAGATCGTTTGCTTAAGTTAAACTGATAGCTGCTGTCTACAGCAATTAATCATCATTAAAATTGTAACCCTTACACTTTCTTCGGCCAACATTGGCTGGCTTTCTCTCACGCATGCGCCTGCTTCAACTTTGATTTTGTATTTTATTTTCGAAAAAAAAAAATGCTTTAAATTTACTTAAGCATCGCCAAATGAGTTTAACTTTCTCATGCTTCTGTTTTTTAAATCTTCTATAGCATGTTTTTATGTATGTACTTTACTTACCTTGACAGTTGTGTTCTTGATGGGCTTATCGGGATCGTGCACATACTCCAATGTAATGCCATAGAATTGTCCTTTATTGATGTATGTGATGCGATCGTCTTCGCGTCTTTGTGACGAACTGATCGGACTCTCCAGGTGGTAGCGGAAGCCGACATTGCAGAAGCTGTGGAAAATAAAGGAGAGAAACGAGTTTGTAAATTAAAAAGTAAGCTGATTTGTCGAAAAGTGAACAAATAAGCATTTAAAGTGGGCCATATCATGTATCTCAAAAGGTAAAATGCTAGCGAAGCTTTAATTTGCCGATTGTCTGTATAAGTTTCTTATATTTTATAACTTTTATAGAGCCAAAGCTTTTATTATGATTTTACAAAGAACAAATTCCGCGACAACCAGCATTTACTCTATGATAGCCCTTGTATATGGTCCTGTATATACCTCTTTCTGGTCGCGAACCTAGATTTCAAAGCTCTCTATACGACTGGCACAAAAAAAGGCTCTCTGTGGGCAGCATTGATATTAACCGCTTATGGCTTCAAAGCTTCCTATAAAGTATATATGTATATATAGACGAGTCAATGGTTAAAGCTCTATCTGCCCATTACTGAAGTATGTAGATATTCTGTGGATGAAGCTTTTTGAAACCTTCTACTGATTCGGCGGCCGCAGTGATGTAGTGGTTAGAAGTGCGATTCCGCAAAGCGTGGGATCATGTCCAGTTTCCTCGGAAGGTACTGGCAAATCTCCGAGTGATTTCTGCCATGAGAAACAGCTTCTCATAAAAGTAAAATCGCCTCTCGGAATCGGCGTAAAAGATCAGGTCACTCCCCTTTGCGTGACAATATCAAGGCGCACACCTCAAATCGGAGGAGAAGCTCGGCCAAACACTAGCATATTGTCTAAGTGCCAATCTCTTATAGATTTTATAAGGGCGCACATAAACCGAAATTTCTCGCTGATCGTCACATAAAAGCTCTTCTGGTCGTCACTGATTTAAACATTTAAAGATCTCTGCCTGGCTGTCGCTGTAGACCATTAACTACTAAAATGTATTCCGCGGTGGAAGCTTTTGAAAGCTTTTATTTGTTGGATGCTCACAGAGCAGACTTCTCGCTGGTCATCTCTGCTGTAGACCAGTGAAATTCAGATAGAGCTTTTACTTTATGTGTGCCTATAGCAGTGATGCTTAGAAAGAGCTTCGCCTGCGGCGATGTTTTGAGCATTATTGGTAGTAGAAAGCTTTGAACAGCTTTAGACACACACAAGTTAAAAGCTCCCTCTTCCCATCACAGCTTTAAGTTTTCAATGATGGCTCAAAACACATTTTTGGTTTTATTTAAATTTTTTAACACAAACATATGTCCAAAGATTTCGTAAAGCTTTCTAAAAGCTCTTGCATAGATATCGAAACTTAAATGTTGAGGAAAACCAACTAGCCCTAAAGCTTTTAGTAAATTACTTTCCAGGAATAAAGTTTATTCGCCTAATATTTTGGCTGACGTACGCATTCATTGCAAATCACATTTTGGAAAACAGCCTTTCATTTAATGAAAGCTCTATTTTTCCACTTGTTTCAGTAGCAAAAAAACTTTCAAATATGGAAGCTTAATCAGTTTCCAAACTATGGAAGCTCAAAATAAAGCTACAGACAAAGTTTTTCAAAGCTTTCTGGCGCCAAAAATGTTGCCCGAACATCTTAACGCTTTACATAGATTTTATATAGGCGCTCTCGAGCAAAAAGCTCTCTCTGGCCAACATTCATAGAGATCCATGGAAGCTAAAGGCTTTTCCTGGTCATACATATGTACATATTTTTATTAAAAGATTTTTATCTTTTAGTCCCTCCTACATTCTATAAGTACACAAATCTACTACATACTAATTAATAAATCTTCATACTCACATTTTTGGTATTTGTATTTTGTCCGCATCATTTTGACGTCCAAAATCATGCCACGGCCTCGAACGTGTGGCACCATTCGGCGTAGAGCCGCCCAGCGATGTGGTCGGACTAATTTGACCGTGAACACTAACAGCGCCACGTTGTATGCTATTCACCGACACTGGTATACCGCCATTGCTGTCCAACAGTGTGCCAGAGAGCTCTGTGTAGTCGAAAGACTGCATACAGTTAGGATACGAGCGGATAATGGATATGAAAAGAAATAAAAGAAAACAACAACAAAATTTGTTATAAATATGATTTATGCATCAGAAAAGTTTAAAAGCTTGTGCAAATTTTCAGAAAGTAAAAGGCAATTCACAAAACAAGTGAGTTGATAATAAAATTTTATCAAATAAAAATGATCAACGACGCAACAAAATTGACGTGAAACAAAAAAAGAACAACAATGGACATACATATCACACAAAATTTACGAACGCGGATAACTAGAACGTAAAAAATCGCTCATAAATCACAATCCAACACACAAACAAAGCACTCAACAATAATACTAAGACTAAGACGAAAGCGAAATACAAAATTACAACAAATTATATATGTGCACATGCAACGATTAGAACAATCACAACAACAAGAACAACGCAAGTAGAATCAACAATAATTACAAAACTCATAAATCTCAGAGAAATGTGACAAACAGCAAACAAATGCAATACATACAGCTACAAACAGCGCTACAGAACCACAACAACAACAAAGATTCATAAACAACTACGCCGCTTACTCAACAATAATGACACCAATAAAAACAAAAGCAAACACATTTACACTCAACACACGCGATCAAAGCTCAAAAGTCCTTTATCAATCGCCGATGGGTCACAATCGGGGGCAGTGTGGAAGGTAGAGGGGGTAAGATAATGAGATGGAGAGAGCAAGAGAAAAAAAAAACAATTGGAAAATCGAAAGTTTATCAAAAGCTCACAATTTGGCGCAAGCTACGCGAATGAAAGCTTCTGCGCGAGAAAGCTTTCACAATCAAATTTTCAATCAACTGTTTCAAAAGAAGCGAGAATAATCAATTTATGTTATTTTTTTAGTTTACTGTAAATAAAATAAGAATGCAAACCATTTCACTTACCTGATGTATATTATTCTGATCGCGTGGTGTAATCGCATCAGCGCCAATACCCGAATCTGGGCTTGGCAAATCCACCGTCAAACCAGCAGCTGTGATGGCCTTCGCATACACCGGTGTGCCATTCTTGATGTTCCCCGCCGTATTGGCTGTGGTATGTGATGGCATACTGGTCACTGGTGCAGCAGCCGTGGTGAAGCGTCCCTCATAGGTGGTGCCCGGTTGTGGTGGCTCAACATCAGCGCCACCATACACAATATTGCGTGGCGCCTGTCCATAGCCAGTCTGTGTGTCTGCTGTGGTTGCAGTCGTATAGAATTCGCGATAATAAGGCTCTGAGATGAATGTGGAAGTGGGACCGCCCGAAGTGAGGCGTGTCGTTGTGTACATGCCATAGCCGTCGGGTGTGATGTAAGGGCCGGGACTGGGTGTCTGTGCATTGACATGCACATTGTTAGAGCCGCCGCCGCCGCCGCCGACAACAGAGCCAGGTGCATTGGACTGGTGAGCGCCCTGCATGCAAGAGGTGTGGAGTTGGTGGTGAGCAGGGGTCCGAGTAGAGTTGAAGTACGCGTTGGTAGAGAGCAAAAAAGATAAGAACAAAAGTTGAGTTGCATTAAGTTTTTGGAGTCATGGTTGTAAGCTAATAAAAAGAATATGAAAAAGTTATAGTTTCTGTGCGTACGTAAGTCCGTACGTACGTAAATTTGTGTGAATTGTTTTTTTTCTTTTAGTTGCATCTACGAGTTTTTGTTTTTTATCCATTTAACACTTTGCACACTTTACTTTGGCGTTCGTAGGTGTGGCGGCGCATGCGTCTTGCTTTCAAGCAGAACAAAAGCAATCGAATTCCGGTTCCTTGCTGACGCGCTAATTATCACACGTTGACAAAAACACCTAATCCGCAGAGTCGATCGACCGATTAGTGGTGTAGTATGTCTGTCCATTAGGCCAAATCAGCAGTCATTTTTAAAAATTTTGCTTTTTCTTTGCGTTCACCGTCGAAAAAGGCCGGCAGCAGCGAAACTGGCCCTGCCGCCACAGGTTTTTTTTGTTTTTTGGTGCTATAACTTATTTTTTGCTCGTCGTTGTGGTGTGGGTTATGCATTCTTTAGCGCCGCTGATTTGCAGCTGGTTATTAATTTAAGTTGGTTATTAGTTTTTGTTCTTTGGCAAAAGTTGCTCTAACCACATTTGTTGAAAAGTGAAATTATATGCTAATGATGTGGTGATTTGTCAAATGACGGAAGGTCAGCCGAAACGTACTAGTTGGCGATGCCATTGGAATGCCGGCGGCTGAAGAATGGTCGCGCGTGCGCAGTCTGTTGTTTCTTTTTTTCTCTAAATTTCAGTGAACGTCTGGGTTTTTTTTTATGAGCAGCGTTGCTTTCTGTACGGTGGCATACAGTGAAGAGAGTTTTAGAAATTTTCGGATCAACCAAAATAGGTGTATTTATTGCTGTAAATTTTTTTGTATATTTTGGGGTGACTTCTTTTTTGAAGAATACGACCATTTTATATATTTTATTGCATTAGGAAGTATAAAATCAGTTCTTATAAATATATTTTTTCGTCATTCGGTTCTGTGTACTAAGTCTGCTATTTGAAAAAAAATAAATAAATTTGCTCTCCATTCTTCGCATTCACACTCACCTGCAAGTAAATTTGTGTGCCGCCACTGGCAGCGTACATTGTATCTGTTGTTGGACTTCCAGGACTTATAGGCGGCTCTTTAATTTGTATGGTTGTGTGCGTTGGTGATGTTGGTGACTGCACAACTAAAACCTGCGAAATTGAATTTGCTTGTTTGAGTGCATTCACTGAAGAAGAAGGAAGAAATGAGTTGTTGCTTAAGGGGACTGGAGGGAGGTAGAGGTGAAATAAAAGCGGGCATGTATGGAGAGAAAATGAGGCAGGATGAAAAACTAAAAACTATAAAGTGAAAATTAAAAAACAAAAAATTTATAGTTTCGAATTTGAGCGCAGAAAAATACGGAGTGAAAATTTTCGGCGTTGTCGATATACACACACACACAGACGAACGCGGACAACAACATGAAAATATTAAGTATAATTAAAAAATATACCTTGTGCAAAATTCGGGCATGCAAACGCTAATACAGTGGACGGGATTAAAAAAAGGTATGAAAAATTAAATTTATAATTTCAAAAAAAAAAATAAAATAAAATAAATAAATAAAAAATAAAAATTATAGAAAGAACAAAAAAAAGTGCCAGTTGCTCATGAAAATTTTCTGCTACAAACCAAGTTTAAATATGTTCAAAAAACCTAAGAAAATCCAAGAAGTTTTTACTTTTTTGGAAAAGTGCAAACAAAATTGAAAAATCTTTCTATAAATGAGAAATATGGATTCGAAAAAGTTAAATTAACCCTTTTTTGATTTTGAACTCTAATTTGACAAAAAATTCAAATTTACGAAAAGTTTACAGCGGTGTAGAGATTTACTAAGGGTTTTGTATGTTTTTCAATTAATGTGAAAGCATATAACCTCCACTCGAAATGTTCTTTTTTATAGCAATCACCACTTAAGCTTTCTGTAGATTTTTAATCAGCCACAACCAAAGTAAATCTAGCAGGAGAAGCTTTTTGAAGCTTTTTACGGATTTTAACGGAACACTCACCTCTCTCGGATCGCCACTTCTTTCATAGGGTTGCCATCAGAGAAAAAGCTTTCGCAGTTCGTAACTGTTTTAAAGCAGTCACGACCAAAACATTACTGCGAATGAAGTATTTTAGTAAAAACTCGTTTAGATTGTGTCATATATGTACTTCACTGGAAACATGTTTTATTGAATTCCTTAGGCTTTTGGGTAGGGTCTTTAGCACACGAAAGCTTTCGCCATTGGACGCAAAACGTTTAGTTGTAAAATGAGAAATACATTCGATTAAAATCTAAGGTTCCTAGCACAAATTGTGATTCCAAATTATATAATTCTTTAGATGTTGTAGTTGTTTATAGCTGGAAAAGCACCCTTAGGGGTTCGCCGGCTTTAAAGTTTGAAAATTTGTCTAAGAAAACCGAATATGTACAACTTTATTAGAAAAGTTGCAATATATTCCTTTTGAATATTTCTGAAGATTTTTCAGTTTTTAAGAGCTTAAAAAGCTCTCTTAGGTAGTCGAGGGCAATAAAGTTTGAACAATTTTCGGAGAAAATCAAAAACATACTTTATTGGGAGAAAGATGTTCCTTGCATTCAAAAAGTTTTCGGAAAGGTGAAAGCTGAAGGCTGATAAAAGCTTTCGCCATAGCGTTGAAAACTTTTGAGCTGATCATGAAAAGTTTATATCATTAAAATTAAAAGCTTTTTATTCAAATTTGTGTTCTTACTCAAACCTATCAAGGCTATAGATTTCGCTGTTGTTTTAAGCTTACTATTAGAGAGCCTTTGGAAGGAATTGAATTTTTATAACTCGAGAAGAAATTAAATTAGTTTTAGTTTTTGATATCTTAATCTAAAAACTTCTTGAAAGTCCCAAATATAGAGCGAAAGGTTACGAGAGGTCCCGAAACGTCATTGAAAATCTTAAAATTTCCCTTAAGCTTTGGAAATAATTCCAAAATATCCTTAAAATATACCAAAATGACCAGAAATTGCCATATATTCATAAAAAAATCCCTGAAAAGCTCATAAAATTTTCGGGAAAATCTTCCATTTCGAAATATCCCGAAAAGTACAGAAATATTCCCGAAATTTTTTTTTTTGAAAACTAAAGTGGGTCCAGATGACAGTCGGCTTTGAACAAAATACTCTATTCGAAAATTGTATTAGTCTTTACTCAATTAAAATTTTCTTCTTAAAATTTCATTGTTATTTTTTTAAATGTTTGTATAGCTAGCCCACTTTTTCCCCATTTTCATATAAGCCTTGAAAGGGTACATTTGAATATGTGAACAAAAAAGATACTAGTTAGCGCATACCCAAACGATTTCGCAAACACATGTAATGCAGCTTGTTTGACAAATTGCATGCCATTTGTGTTTGACTCTTGGCTGCGCATGCGCAACAAATGATTGTACGCTGCCGCCAGCTGCCAGCTGATTGCGATTAGATATATGTATGTTTATAACTACATAGCTACATATTGCTTAATTGTATAAAACACATTTGATGGATATTAATTGATAAGGTGGCAAAGGCGCTTAATCAGTATTGCAATACAAGGAAGATGAAGAGGAAGAAAAAAACACATAACAATTATTAAATTGACAAAAGCGACAGTGAATGCAAAATCAAATAAAGACAAAAATGATGAGTATGCTGTATTTGTAATTAAAATGTGATTGTGGTGATTTATAAATAAGAAAGCAAGAAGGAAAAACCCCAAAAGTCCAATAATCGTATTTATATATGTATTTCTAAACTCAAATTTGAGCGATAATAGTGGGGCTGCTTCACTTCCAAGTTGAGAAAAAAAAATAAGTTAATCGTGCTTCTTTTTAACTTTAAAAATTTATTTAAATCTGTAAAATTATTAATATCTGCCTATAGTTACATATTTACATATTTATAAGTGTACCTATTTTTATTTCGAATGCTACTTTGCATATTTTCGCTTGCGTGCGTAACGAAGCCTATCCAATCAAAATTGTCTCCAATCATATAATCATAAAATTTTTTCTGCTTACTGCTGTTGCCATATACATACATACATAGTTACACACTAGTTCGATACGTAAGCAAGGCAATAAAAAAGTTTAAGCTTAAAAAAATCTTAATTTTTGTATATTAATTTCCCTTGATTGATGATCATGGATGTATGTATGTATGTATGTATGTGTTTGTATGCCATTATCGCCGTTGAAGTGGCGCTGCTGACATAGCTGTGATTTGCCTAGCCGCGCCGCAGAGTGCTTGCCAATAACAAGTAGAAAACAAGGTGTTGTTGTTGCCACTGTTGTTTGTTGTTTGTTGTTCGTTGGTTGTTGTTGATTACAATTTACATGGAGCTGCTGCGTCGCTATCGCTTTTGACCGCTGATTGCGTGCCGGGTTGAGAACGCCACAACAATGCGGAAGGCCGGCAGTTACTACTGGCAGTGCCAATTGATAGGCAAGTAGCAAAATCAGCGACAGAGGCTGACGCAGGCGCAGCATCAGCAACAGGCGCTGCTTGGTCAACTAAGTCAAGTTGTTTGCTACGTCTACAATTACGCAGTGGCAATGATTAATTGTGTTACCTATAGCATTATTTGATTGTTATGAAAATCCATAGCAAGCCCTCTAACCTGCGCGCTGCTGTTGGCAACTTAGCCACGCTACAGTCGATTGTCGTCGTTCTTCGTACCCCTTGCCTATGGGGGGCTGGCAGCACTGCAGCTGAAGTAGAGGGCTTAAAAGCTACCTATTTTTTAGTGCCAATAAATGGTTATTTGTTGTTGTATTTATACCAGAGTACGTAAGCAACTATATGTGTATGTATGCATGTAGAGTATTCAAAGATTTTTGATTTTTTTGTTTCTTTGCGCTCAGTAGCCAAATCGCGTTTAATGAAACGCACGCAAGTTAAATGATAAATATTGTCAATTACGGCTATGATTGATTAGCCAAAATTGTGACAGCGGCAATAGCAATAGAAATCAGATGTGGTATTTAGTAAACTAAAATGTGTGTACAAAAAAATTAAGCGAAATTAACTGAAATAAGCTAATAGTTAATTAGTCGGTGGGACAAGACTAGTAAAGAATTGCTCTCCACTCCGGCATGTAAATTTTTTATTTCATACTTTAAAACAAAGCAATCTAACAGGTAGCTAAACAAACGTTAATAGAAATTATTCCATATTAGCAAATAAAGTCTATAATTCGCTGGGTTAATACTTGCACATTTTTTTTGTATTTAATTGGCAATTTAGTTAAAATAAAGATTACTAATTAAATGATAAATGATCAGAGTAGGCAGGAAGTCAATTACACCTAAACATTTCAAAACACACATTAAGCACTGTTTATGCAAACATGCATATGTATGTATGTATGTATGTATGTATGTATATTAGGATGCCTCACGAAAAAACGTATTGCATCCCAAGGTGAATCTTGAACTTCGTTGCCAATCAAAACCTAATGAATGAGCAACAGCATTTGGCGACAGATGTAATATATTTTTTTTTAATGTTTGGGCTCTGAAATGCCAAATTTGGTTTAGAATTTTCAACAAATTTCTAAAGTGTCAAACTTTTTTCATGGTTTTCCATAGAATTTCTCAATTTGAGACGGTTGTTCGCATGTGAAATCATTTTTCATTATCAGAAACCGGATTTTTGGAGCATATGTATGGGAATATTAAAATATGGGCGTCAAAACAAAAGAGTTTTAAGAAACTTACCCTTTAGGATATCTTTGGGCTGTTCGAAGAGGGTTTCCGTGCGGTTTAAAAACTCAAACTCACTCACGCGTTAAAAAGGCTTTATTTCTAAACTACACGTAAGCGGGCTGCCATCTGCTTAAAAAGTCAAATTCAATATGAATTAAAACAGTCAGGTATGGGTGACAAACGAAGGAGGTTTAAGAAGATTTTAGTTAGGAAATATTTCGAATAAGATTGCCACTTGTTTGAGAATTCGAATTTAATTCTATTGTATGCAAGTTATATGAAAAATTAAACCAAAGGGTTAAACCAATGAGTCATAAGAAATCTTGGGTTGCACATTTATAATATTTTTAGGTATTTTAAGAGAGTTGCCACCTGTTGGAAAAGTAAAATTCACACTATTTAATTGCGTAAATGAATTAACGAAAGATGGTTATCAATTGAAATGGTT